TAGAGGTCTTTTCCAACCTTAGTGGATCTGTGATTCTGTGACATGGTTACCTCCAGACATATACTGATTCAACTGCCTTTCTATTTATAGCTCTCTTCTCCCCCACATAAGATGCTTTTGACTGTCATTCTAACAAGGTGACTTGTTACCACTTACAATTTGCATCTGTTAATTTCATTATTGTATCACATTTGCCCAAAGGAAATCTCTTTCAGCTGCAGCGTTGAGTGTTGCAGCACCTTTTGTAAGAAAATATAAAATGCAATTCAGAATAATTAAGAAAAAAACAATTAAAAATTGTGCTTATTTCTAGAGTATGGTTCACTGTAGAGAGCTGTGTACTACCAGTGCAGCTGTGGAAGGAATCCTGACTCCTGCCTTCAGGCATTTAAAACGCAGTCTCAGGCCTTGAGGATTAGGTGGACTTGCTGTCAAGGGGAAGGAGCAGCGTAACTACAGAGCCGTGATAGACCTCCAGCACCATGGCCTGTGGTTAGTCAACATGGCTTTGGAGGGTCAGAGGAGTTAAGGGTGAAGGATGGGGGCACTGAACCCATCAGACTCTGGAGTTGCATTCTGCTGCCCTTATTCAACAACTTAATTATTCTCTGAAATAATGGATTCAGATGCATTGCTTAAAAAAACCCATCATAACGCTGTATTATTTATAATGTAAATCAATATAAATAATTAATGACAGTACAGCTTACTGAACCATAAACCTTTTATGGGCCAACTTTTCTTTTGGCAATGCAATTAAATCTAAGGTGGTGCATTCCCCAGGTGTGGCTTGGCCGTGCCTGACTTCAGTCCTGAAAGTCTTTACCGGCACTTGCCCTGCAGCGGTTTCAACCTTGCGCTACCCGTCAGCGGCTGCCCTAGCATGTGGGGGCTTTCACATGGAGAATTGCTCACCCTGAGCTCTAGATAGTGTGTGACGCCAGAAGAGCAAGGGACCTGTTTTTTTCAAGCGAGCATCGTGCTTATCCCCAGCTCGGGACAAGTTTTGAGAAGGAAGGCAGTGATCCCAGTTCCCACCAACACAGCAGACTTCTCCATCTACTTTTGTAGTATATGTTTAACTTCCGAGAAGTAAAAGCTGGGACAAATGAAAATCCATTGATGCTAATGAGAGTATCAGGCTGTGAGAGTTGGGCTTGTTCAGCCTGGAGAAGAGAAGGCTCCGGGGAGACCTTATAGCACCTTCCAGTGCCTGAAGGGGCTACAAGGAAGCTGGGGGGGACTTTTTACAAGGGTCTGTAGTGACAGGACAAGGGGTAACGGGTTTAAATTGAAAGTGGGGAGGTTTAGATTGGATATCAGGAAGAAGTTTGTCACAGAGGGGGTGGTTAAGCACTGGGACAGGTTGCCCAGAGAAGCTGTGGATGCCCCATCCCTGGAAGTGTTCAAGGCCAGGCTGGATGAGGCTTGGAGCAACCTGGTCTAGTGCAAGGTGTCCCTGCCCATGGCAGGGGGGTTGGAACTAGATGGTCTTTAAGGTCCCTTCCAACCCAAACCATTCTGTGAATCTATGATTCTGGTTTGCCTCAGGTATGTTGAAAAGAGCAGCAGGGGTGTGTATTTAATTAATAAAGAAGCAGGTTAATACTGAAAGACATGCAAGTGAGAAGGCCAAATCCTCATGACTCTGCTGAGAAAAGGCAGAGCATAATGTTAAATTTCATGGCAGTGATTCCTTTTGTGCCTTTGAAATGGATTGATGGGATCTGAGAGAAGAGCTCTGAAGCTCTGTTGACTTAAGCGTGTCAGGAAAATGCTTGCAGTTTTAATTATTCTGGATATTTCTGTGTATGGTTAGTTACAGAGCTGCTCCGGGTTATCTTAGGGAAGGATCGGTAGAAGGCCCTGCATCTAAGGATATGACAGATGGGAAGACTCGAAATAGGGAACGAGGGAGTCATATTAGCCTTACTTTTACATCCCAGTGCTGTTGTCGAGGGCTCCTGTCGACTGTTGGGAAGCTGGCGCTCCTCTGTCTGCGTCAGTACTGCGGGTCTCCTTTTGTCCACTCGTGTGACAAGCTGCTTTCTGCTTTGTCCCACGCTATCTGGCCGTTAGGCATGACTCACTGGTGGAGTCAGTGTGGGCTGGAGGGAATTGTCTTTCCTTCAAGTCCTTCCCCAGTGCATACCTCTGCCATGTCTGCGGGTCAGTCCCACTCAGCATAGGTGATAATTGCACCATCGTAACAACGATGTACAGTTCTTTCCAAGTCAACGTGCAAGACTGCGTGAGGTAAGCAACATGGTGCAGCTGAAAAAGATGGAGTTAACGTGGGATTGCTCACGCTCACACACACATATACATGTGTTAAACATGGGTTCTACGGGTGTCCAAAATGGTGAGTAATATACGGATGGGTTCAAATTGGTTGTGTGTTGTCTGTTCATGGCCACAAAACTTTCAAACCTCAGGTTGGTAATTGATACCGTTGGATATAGCTAAGGTGTATCAGCATATATTAGCATATAGCTAAGTATTACAGCATTTTGTCATCAAGCCAGTGCTGCAACTGTTAAAATCTCTTCCTAATTTTCTAGAATCATGTTATTAAAGGATGGAGGACTGAGGATAGCTAACGTGACCAAAGCTGATGCTGGAAGCTACATGTGCCTGGCCACAAACCAGTTTGGAACAGCCAGTGGCTCCACTAACTTGATAGTTACAGGTAGGTGAGCTGGAACGGGGTCATCTGGGAGGTGATGTAAATTGAGTTGTAAACTCTCTGCAACGGTGTGGAGCCTGAGTTTGCTTACTGAAAAAATACTGAATGTGGTGGAAAGTAAGGAGTGTGAGAAGTTAAATATTTAACAATATATAAAGATAAAAGGGTATTTGTTATACATCTTCTTAGTTGAGAGGGAAGAGACTGAGGGATTTTCTTTGACAAAGATACTTCTCAGATGTGAGGGAGTTCTGAACGCTTTCTTCCGTTCTCTAAATACTAAATAGTGAAATAACGCTTTTAAGTTCAGGATTTTTTTTAATTTGTTGATAAAAAAACATGACAATCAAAAAAATACTTGAGGTAATTTTATGTTTCAGTCCAACATCTGTTTAGCCCTAAGGAACTGTATGCTGTTTGCTTATGGAAAAAGATGTAAACACTCCAGCTGCAGGAGTGTGCCAGGACTCCAAGGGCAGTAAAACATAAAGTGTTTCAAAAGCAAATTGTATACATAATCATTGTTAAAAGGGTTCTTGCCCCTTCCTCTAAGTCATCCATTACTAGCTGCTGTCTGAGATTAAGGGGACAAGTGGTCTGTGAGGTTTAGCTGAGAACTGTCTTTTCTCATCACATTCTTTTTGAAAGATTGGAATATGTAATTTTCCCAACTCAGAATTATCTAATACTCTACTCCATTGCATGTCCTATATAGCTCATAGATCCAAACAGAGTTATTTTGTTCAGTGAATTAACAGCTTCAGTTTTTCAGCCTGTGCTCCAAGATGATTCATGCCCCTTTATATACAAATAATAGAATTATATAAAAAGGATTACTAGAATGAAATTTTATTTTTACAGTATTTACAGTACTTGAATTTTTTTCTCCATTAATGTGTTTCTGGAATAACAAGCAGCTTTTCTTAATGACAGTATTTATGTTCTGTGTCATATATGGACCCAAAATACCCGCTGCATTCTACCCTACTTGGATTACCTCTGGTTTCCAGATTTTTATTAGCTCCTTCTCTCACTCCCACCTCTTATTCTTCCCAGTGGCTGCTACTAAAGCTTCATGCTCCAAAACATGAGTGTTATTGCTGTGAACCTCACACTCTCTTGAATGGTAATTTCATTGCTGTGGGTTGCAGTGCGTTTGGATTTGTAAAGTATATTGGCCTGTACACAGCAGGTGAAAATTTACCTATTCAGTGTTGAGTAGCTCCCACTGGTAAATGTGCGAGGACACGGCGCTCCAACAAGAGGGGTTGGGCAGCAGCATTTATAGTCCAGCTGCATAATCTGAAGTGACTGTCATTAATCAGATTTGAAGAACGTGGTAGAATATGTAGTTGCATGCAAAGCTCAGCAATACAGGAATCCAATAACTGAGATTTCTGCTCGCACCAGAGCCAACCAGAATTACTTTGGCACCTTCCAACATGGATGTCACTGTCGGGGAGAGTGTCGTCCTGCCTTGCCAGGTTCAGCATGACCCTATACTGGACATCAGCTTCACCTGGTACTTCAATGGAATGCTCACCGATTTCAAGAAAGACGCTTCTCATTTTGAGAAGGTTGGCGGGGTAAGTCGCAAACACCTTCTCTTCACTTGCCTTATGCACCTCAGACAGGCTTACTTTTTCTCTTCAGCATGGTAAAATTAGGGTGCTGCTTCTCTTTTGAGTGTGTAGAGTTTTATTCTGTGTTGGAGGCAAATCATTCACTGAGCTAGTTTGCTGACATCGCTCGTTACACAGGCACCTTGTATTTTACACCAGAAGTATTGCAAGTTCCTACCTCTCTCTGCATCTGACCCCTCATGGTTTTCCCAAGATCACCTGAAACATAGGAACGACAGACTGAGGAACTAGATTCAGACTTCATAAGCCTCAATCTAAAGCCAAACAAAGCATCCCATCTTCCCTTATTTTTCCTGCACTTGCATCCCTAGTGTATCCCTCAGCCTCCCTGGGGGAGAAGCCATGTATCTCATTAAGTATTTCCTGTGGAGGATGCAGAGATGCTGCTGGGGGTGTTTGTGTGTGACGTTAATGCTTTTTAGAATTTAGCCTTCTAATCAAAAGCTGAAAAGTAAAGGATTGAGACAGATGAAGGATGTATCAAGAGAAATGAAATCAATTACAGCAAAAGGCCTTATTACAGTGCAAGCCATGGCCCGGTGATAACAAAACAAACAGCTGAGCATCAGCACGAAACTGGCTGTTACAAGCCTCCATAAAGTTTCCTTTCACATATTCTTGCCAGGTCTCCTACTCTAGAGGAATAGTTGTGGGTCAGGCACTACTCCCTGTGAAACTGAAAATTCAGCACCTCACTTTTTTCCTTTTTGCCTGTAAAAACCTCGAATGATTTAGCATTTCATCAGTAGGCACCAAACACCCAGATTGTTCTGCAGTTTGCAACTGATTAAATACAAGTGCATGTGGAGATGATGAGATTTCCTTGTAGGAGCCATGAGATATTCATATATCATGTATATTTTCACAGGAATGTTTTGAGAATTATGAACTGACCATCTGTCATGCTGTAATGGGAATGCTCTGATTTCATAGCCCGTTACCTTCCAGTATTGCTACATGGACTTTATTTATTTAGCAGTATTTCCCCCCAGCTGTACTTGGGTTGTATATACAAATAGTAAGATTAGAAAGAAAAGGTTAAAAACACTCTAAAATCTGAATCTGACAGTTTTACTGGCTCAATTAAAGCTTTATATGCTGATTGGAAAACGCGGTATTTTTTCCTCACTAAAAATTCCAGCTTTTTCCCCAAACAAACACAGGTATAATTCCAAATCAAAGCCTTGTTTAGGTGTCTTTTTTTTTTTTTCTCTTGGGGAATTTGTCAAGAAGTAGTTTTTCACAAAAAATTCTCACTCAGTGCTGAAGAAAAACCCAGGGCGAGTATTGGCTAACTCAGAACTGAATCCAGAATGTTTTAGTTGGAAATCTGTCACAAGGGACAAAATTAGGAGGGAATGTAGAATATAGACATTAAGGGTTTTTTTTTAAACTCTGTGTAAGCGCATTAGTAGACTTCATAGGTTGCCAAGAGATCCATGAGAATGTTATATGGGCTTTGTATCACGTTAAGGTTGGTGGAATAATTTCATCTGGAGTTGCATGAAGGTCGTGGTAAGCAAATAAGCATAAATATGTTCTAAGCCTTCCGGTAGCTGCAGTGTGTATTTGTAAATGAAAGTGTCTGTGTAAAAGTAGCTTTCCTGGTCATAATCATGGCAAAAGGAAGACGCTGTTTCAGTGGATAGATTTCTGTGTAACGATGTCTTGAAGTCCCCGTCACACGTGCCTGAGGTCTCCCACATGCAATAGTTAGTGGGAATGTTATGGGACCACCACCTGGTCTTCCAGATGGTTAGAAAAATATAGGATGTAACACCGTCTTGCTGCTCTTTTTTGTGTTAGACAGATGATTTATACAAAGAGTATGGCAAACCAAGCTGATCCCAAAATTCTGAACAGATTGCCTCTAAACTGTTGTGGGTATCACCTGCTTATGGAGCCCAGCGATGGCCGAGACTTACGCGGTCAGGGGAAGCAGAAGCAATTGCAGCAGCTGTTCATGCCGCATGGACCCCTCTTTATTTGTATTCCGTGTAGCAGGGGAAAAGGAAGGTGACCTTACTGTCACCTGAACTTGTCCACGCTCACAACGATTTCATCTGGCTAGGCAAGACTGTGGGGACCGCTGATGGTCTGCAGAGCTGTGGGAGGTGACGGTGCTTTCTACACTGCAACTTCTGTGTTTTCCCCAGTGCTTTGGGATTCTTCCCCAAAATATCCCCAAGTAACTTAATGCAGCGTTAAATTTTTGATGTTTTTTATTTCAAGTAAATTTACTGGTGACGCTGCCCTTTGTTGAGATGTTTGAAATTTAGTTTGCTGAGGTAAGTTCACACAGAACACGGTTTGCTTGTGAGTAAGCACTGCTGTTGGTCATTCCCTGAATATCCACTTCCAGTCAAGTTGATGGATTTTACATTGCCTTCGACTCAACTTCTAATGCATTGCAGGCAATCAGTGCTGAATTGTCCTGCAAATGCTTACATCTGTGCTTTCACAGAACCAGGCATTGTGTTTATACACACAGGGAAGGGAATCGGGCAGAATTGTTTTCAGCTTGAGTGGAATAAAGAAGTGGGACATTGTAATCCTGAAATAATGTGTGTGTGTGTAACGAAGGAAAATAATCAAATGGTTGGAAGTGTTGTGAATTATTTTCCTAAGACTAAAATAAACTCAAAAATAATTTCTTCCCCTTTCTCCCAAACTACTGTGCACCCAAAAATCAGTCATGTGGCTGAAGTAGCTGGAAATACCCACAAAATAGGGCTCTACACTCAAATGATGAAGTGCTGCTGCTTCAAAAAATTTTTTAAAAATTAACAACTTTTAAAAACTGAAATCTGAGATACTTTTCACCTGGATAATACAATGTGAACTGGGTTGAAGTAGTAATTCAGCTGAACTAAAGAGGAGATTTTTTGAGGTGGCACGGGCTACCAAAGGTTTAGTATCAAGTTCTCTACTCAGTGATGTAGAACTGAAATAGTATACAAGGAGCCTTAACTCAAGCTTTATGTATGTTTCCCCTGAGTCAGGAGATCAGCCACATGCTCTGACATGAGAGAGCAGGGGGAAAAAAATAAAGACCAAAGATTAAATATTCAATGAAGAACAAAGAACAGAACTTAGACTTGTAAAACAGGGGAATTTAGCCGAAAATGTACAACCTCTGAAGGAAAATGTACTCACAGTAACCTGTAGAATGGACCAAATTCAGCTTTGTCATTTACAGATTTGAATTCCTTCAAAATCTGCAATAACTAGACTTACAGTTTCTGTCTAGAAGTCAAATGGCTACAGAAACCACATTTTTCTCTCTTTTTTTAGGACTTTGAGATGAATGATTGGTCACAGGGCACTGACTTTCTTCATTGTTCCTGACAGCAGTCAGGAGGTACATTCCCAGTACAACCTAACCATGTTGTAGCTTACTTCTCCTGTAAAAGAGGGATGCTACCTCAAGATTATTTAGGAAAAGGCTTCCAGGCAATTGCCGTGGAGCCGCTGATGGGTACTCTCCTGCAGGCTGTCACTGCCGTTTGTGAACAACTTGATCGTCAGCATTTTTGCTTGATTTCTTTTCCATTCAAAAAAAAACCCCCTGAAATTACAAGGTAGGACACTTATGTTAACAGGAACTTTGTGTTTCAACAGAGTGCCTCAGGAGATCTAATGATTAGAAACATCCAGCTGAAACATACTGGAAAATACGTTTGCATGGTGAAGACGGAAGTGGATAGCGTAGCCTCTGCGGCCGACCTGATCGTACGAGGTAAATGCCAGCGTCGGTTCCCACGAAGCACGTTTTCCAACTTCTGTGTATTGTCAGTGACGGGAACAGACTGCAAAACCCAGTTCAGCTGTGACTTGGATTGTGTGCATTCTGCCCTGAAGTTAGGGAGCATATTAGCGTTTTTTTAACAAAGCCTGATTTTTCCCACAGAAGTTAAGAGCTGCAGTATGTATTAAATTTGGACTTTGCATCTTTTCTCACTGACAGTCCTTCAAGCCACTAATGGGAGGCAGTGAGAGTTACTTCAACCCCCTTTGCTGGTGCAGATGAGGCAAAACCCAGCATTTTTCATAGAATCACAGAATGGTTTGGGTTGGAAAGGACTTTAAAGATCATCTAGTTCCAACCCCCCTGCCATGGGCAGGGACACCTTCCACTAGACCAGGTTGCTCCAAGCCTCATCCAGCCTGGCCTTGGACACTTCCAGGGTTGGGGCATCCACAGCTTCTCTGGGCAACCTGTTACAGTGCCTCACCACCCTCTCCATGGAGAATTTCTTCCTGATATCTAATCTAAAGCTCCCTGATTTCAATTTGTACCCATTACCCCTTGTCCTATCACTACAGGCTCTTGTAAAAAGTCCTCTCCCAGCATTTTTGCCAGGATGCCCAGAATCGGGGTTTTCCGGAAGGCAGCAGCAGCTTGCCCGACTGAATTGCTGCTCACGGTGCTGATCAGCTGTTGTGCTGGCAAATTGCTGCAGTGCATCGTACAGTAAAACAGCTGTAGAGAGCAAATGGGCACATGACAGAGATGTATTGGTAGATTAAGAGTGGACATCGAGGACTAAAGTAAAAGATGTTGAAAAGACAGAGGGATTGTGCTGAACAAAGGTTCTTGAAAAGCACCAAAACCCTCTCATCTGTGCTGCAGTTCCGAGTATTTCGGAATTGGACTATCAGGGTCAAGTTTAGTGAATGTAAAGCAATAATTACAAGTGTTCTTACTCCAAGCTGACTTCTTTTCTTCCTCCCACCGTGCTGATAAAATGGGAATCCGCACTGCTGTGTCACTGTTTTCCAGGCTACTGGCTTTCCGAAATGCTGTCTGTTTTTCAATCTAATTCCAGGCTCACCTGGGCCCCCTGAACACGTGAAGGTGGATGAAATAACTGATACCACGGCTCAGATCTCCTGGCAAGAAGGCACAGATAACCATAGCCCAGTAACCACCTACACCATACAAGCACGGACACCTTTCTCCGTTGGCTGGCAGCGAGTTACAACAGGTGAAACACAGCTCTTGTTACAGCTTCTGTTGAAATGTTCTTGACCAGGAACACTGTGTTCTTAGTTTTTCTTTCTTTCTGTTTTTAATAGTTCCAGATGTGATTGATGGAAAAACATTCACAACCACAGTAGTGGATTTAAATCCTTGGGTTGAATATGAGTTTCGTGTAGTTGCCAGTAACAAAATCGGAGGCGGAGAACCGAGTTTGCCCTCAGAAAAAGTAAGAACTGAAGAGGCAGGTTAGTGGGTTCTTCTATTTGTTTTTAATTCAAGAATCTTGAATATTAGCAAAAAAAGGAGAGTTTCTAATTCTTGGGTCTTTGCCCTCAGAAAAAGTAAGAACTGAAGAGGCAGGTTAGTGGGTTCTTCTATTTGTTTTTAATTCAAGAATCTTGAATATTAACAAAAAAAGAGTTTCTAATCCTTGGGTCTTTGCAACAAGCTTGGAATTGCCATGGAATGTAAAAGGCTGTAACTAGTCTGTTCATGATTTCTTCCGTTCAGCCCTGGGACAGTCTGTGTTGTGTTACTGAACACCACAGAAGCATAACGTCTAAATACGTTTATCCTCTATTTAGCATCCCAAAGTCTGTCAGTTCAGGCGGTGCTGCAGAGTCTGAAGGTATTAACGGATGGAAAGAGGTTAATTTTGACAGCGTTCTTTCATTCCTAGTGTTTGATCAGTGTACTCCTTCCATGTAACGAGCATGTGGCTTAGAAGAGCACATCAATTAAAACCCCAGGAGTTTACTTGGAGTAAAGCCATTGCCCAATACATCTGCATAAATTAACCCTGTTAATAAAGCAGAGCATGCCTCCGGTTCTCAGGCGTCCATAAGCATTAGCAGACAGGGTTCAGTCTGTGAGCTGGGGAGGTTCTTCAGGTGCCTGAACAGCAGCAGCCTGCCCCAGGGATGGCCAGCAGCGCGATGCAGGCAGGGCGGGGGCTTTCCAGGACTGCCCACCCAACCCTGGCCTGCAAAAGCAGTAGGAGTACAAGCGGGTTAGCTTCAGGGCGCGAGGTTAACTTTGTATTTTGTCGTCTCTTGTATCTACACTGTGCAGACAGCTTTACGTTTCCTTTCCACAGTTCCTGAAATTCCCCCATCTGAAGTCAGTGGGGGAGGAGGCAGCAGGTCTGAGCTGGTCATAACATGGGATGTAAGTTTCCTGGCAAGCAATTTTCTTCAGAGAATTACTGTTTTCATTCAAACTCTTCTTAAAAGATGAATTTCCCTGGCTGCAGCAGCTTCTCATCTAGGATGTCTGTATGCTGGGTAACATGCTGTAATGTGAGCTGTGCACATCTGCCTTCCCTCTTCTGCTTTCATGTGTGTTAGACGGCAGTCAGGAGGAAATTCAGTTCGTTTGTCTGAGATTGCTTCTGGTCTCAAACAAATTTTTGGAAAGAGGAAGGGCTGTTGCTCAAAGGTTGAACCGAGGAATTATGCTTTTCAGTGCTGCTTTGCAGTTGTTGCTTTCTTACCGCGCTTTCTGGACGCTGGTATGTCCATGAAAGAGACATGTTACACAGTCTCTTTTTAAAGCGTTAAAAAATGTTAACTGCCATTAGGAACACACACTGCTGTGTGGTTACCTAATCATAATCGCAGCAGAGGAAGGTGGTACAACAAAGGTAGTATTGCATTCTATAGCAATTGGCTAAGCAATTATTAATTTTTTATGAATTACAGATTGTGGTCAAAAATTGGGGAAAAGAAGAAATTTATTTATTGCAGAGTGTCTTAAACCAGTATACTGACTGGAAAACAAGGAATATACCTAAAAGTGTTCATCGTCTCAAAGTGCAAATCTTAACACAGGTTCAGAGGAACACGTTTTGCTCTGCTGTACCAGAGCTCATTAGTTGGTGGAATGATCCCAAATGCAGTACCAGAACCTGGTTCCAGTCACGTACGATTGTCTGTACTTTCCCCCCACGAAGTATCTCCAGTGTTGTATGTAACATCCCCGACTTCTGTTGCCTCTTGCTTTTCTCACAGCCCATCCCTGAAGAATTACAGAATGGAGAAGGATTTGGCTATGTTGTTGCCTTCCGCCCCTTTGGCACGACCACATGGATACAGACTGTGGTCACCTCTCCTGACACGCCCCGATACGTCTTTAGGAACGAAAGCATCTTGCCCTTTTCGCCGTATGAAGTCAAAGTTGGTGTCTATAACAACAAAGGAGAAGGGCCATTCAGTTCAGTCACCACCGTTTTTTCAGCTGAAGAAGGTACGTGGTGGTTGAGTTACCTCCAGCTGTTTAACCCCAGATGCTCGTCAGAGGATGTAGCAATGGTTAACAGAAATGAGATGCTCTGAATACAGGCCTGTTTGTTTCCAGTCACCGATGCTGCTGACCTCTCCTGTATTGATTTCCGAACACAGAACCCAGCGTAGCGCCCTCCGGCGTGTCTGCCACCAGTCTGTCGTCCTCCGTCATCGAGGTCTCCTGGACGGCCATTCCCTGGAAGATGAGCAGCGGCAGGTTGCTGGGCTACGAGGTGAGCTTGGACGGGTGGCGCGCCAGCGGGGTCATGCAGGCTGCAGGGCAGCAGCACACCTTTCCCGAAGAGTGCTGCCTAGCTTGCTTTTTCCTGCCCCCTACACCCCGGAGAAGGATACTGTCCTCTAAGTATCTGTGAAAACAACACGGCATGAAACTGTTTTGCTTCCTGTACTAACAACAGTCATGCGTGTCTCTAACAGGATTGTCAAACTGGTGTTTTTTCAGAATTACATTTAATTCAAAAAAACCTGGTTTTTTTAAGAGGCAGTTTTCAGAGTTTAACTTGTCTACTTTTTAGATGAAGTAATGATTTTCCTCTTGTTATTTCTTAATTCAAGCAAGATCTAATATTTCAGTTTCCTTTTTCCTAGTGTCACACTAAAAAGAGCAGCAAGCATGAAAAGCAGTTGGATGAGATTTTTTTTTTTTTTAACCTAGTAAACATTTTTGAGTCTTCAGTGTATTTGTACCTTTTCCAGCTGAGAAAAGTAGTGCACTTAAGGCAGTGCTGTGGGTGAACAGTCCATCCCATGCAAGATTTTAAACCGTTTTGGTTTATATCCACTAGGTTAGGTACTGGAATAACGGTGGGAAAGAAGAATCTTCGAACAGGGTAAAAGCTGCAGGGAATGAGACATCGATAAGGATAACAGGTTTGAAGAGCAACCTGGCATACTACACAGCTGTCCGTGCGTACAACAGCGCTGGAGCAGGGCCCTTCAGTGCCACAGTCAATGCTACCACCAAAAAGACACGTGAGTATCTCGAATTCGGACCAAGGGGAGGCGTAATGGTGTGTTAGCACTTGCAGGGAAATAAAAAATAGGTGCGTTACTGGGACTCACAATATGCATAAATGACCAAAATTTTCGTACGGACTACAGGAGTTACACAATTAAATGGAGCATAGGTCTCCCATTTTCTGCCCTCTGCTACTTTAGCAGGATGAGTAAGTAAAACTCAACCATGCCAGCGGAGCTGAAGTAAGATACGTAATTTCTGCTGCATAGGACTTTTCTTCTTCTAGTAACTGAAAGAAATTTAAAATAAAAGATTCTGTTATTTGGAAGGAAAAAAAACACAGAGACTTGTTGAATTTTTCAGGGTTTTGTACCATATTTATGAGTTCTCTAGGGCATGGCTTTTGAAATGCAATGATCCTCATACAGTTCATGCAAAACAATCCTTCATGTCCATTGTTTCCCCTGGAACAAATTACACAAAAGGCCACTTTGCTATTAAAAGGAGAAATTAAGCCGGAGAACAGATTGTCAAAGGCTGCACTAATTTTTCTACAAATGGAAATATTTTTAGTATGCTCGTGCATTGTAACACAACTCAGGTTGTAATACATCAGTCTTGAAGTATTTCTGTCAGACTCACAAGAGTGTACAGTTAAATCTGTCTGAAAGGTCAAATTCCCTGGAATAGTCATTAATTAACATCCTTCTACCAAAAGTAGTCGCATCACCAGCATTATGAAATGAGCTAGTTGATCAGAAATTATTATATGCAGAAACAGGGGTCACATTGTGTCACTGAGGACTAAACCAACTCAGATCACCTTATATTTGCTAGAGTTTAAATATATGATACACAGAGTTACCATGAATTGGCTGATTTGGAAGGACTTGCTTGCCTGTACCTGACATGTGATGTGCCAGCCTGGTCAGCTTAGGGATTTTTCGGTCCTTTTTTCAGTGACAGTTTGCCTCTGGGATGTGTGAACGAGAACAGGACAAGTCCCTGATCCCAACAGGATCTGGATATCAGGCCTTTAGTCGGTATCCCTGCTGTTTGGAATAATTAAAAAGACAGTTTGTTGCCCTGTATCCATGTGTCTTGCTCGTGAATAGAGCAAAAACACTACAGTACAGTGTGATGCCAATCTGAAGGATTTTGCTGAGTGCTGGTTGAATCAGCTGAGGGCAATAACTCTGTATTGCTGCAGTAGAAACTGATTCTTCATTCAAATATGTGATTTTTGATCAATGCCAGTTTCTATCTTAGCGTGAATATTTGTGATTGATGTGGTTTTTACTGTGAAGGATTTCTGTGCTCACTGCATTTACGTTCACCCACGTGACCTACAAGTTACTTTTTTAGGAACTATGAGCCACATCAAGAAACAGAAATGCTTAAATTCCATTGGCAGTTCATTTCAAGATTGAAAATTCAGTGTTTGACCCATTAGAGTATCTGTGCTTTTATAGTTGAAAGAAATATTCATGTTCCTTGCCCAAAATAACTGTAGTTTTGTTTTATGAAATACTGCTATATTGAAGGAACTAGGGAAGACTTGCCTGAGTTTATACGGCAAGATGTTACAGTTATTTCATATTTACAAGGTTTTAAAATAAAACAAAATGTTCTATCCATCGGCTCTAATTTGGAGAACATACAAATGTATATGACCAAGCATCTGAGGAGGCTCAGAACCCCGTGTAGCGTAGCACTGGAAGTGTGACTAAGGTGCCGTGGTGGTTCAGGGTCTGAACGCTGAAGATTGTGGAGATTCTGGTATCTGAAGCGAATTGGAGCCTTCTGAATCACTTCCGTAAGTCAGGTGGTACATAGAGGCTTTACAGGTGCTTTGCTCTTCATCTTTTCAGATGTCATATTAATATTTTGGTGTGAATTTAAAAGAATGACTCATTTCTTTTGAAATTCACCGTTAATATCTCAGTGTGAAAAGTATGCATATGTGCTGTAATACTTAATTCTCAGGAGTAAAACAATCCCCTCGTACATTTCCAACAAGTAGCTATTAGCACATCAGGTTAAATCCTATTTTGGGTACAGAACAAGGCAAATACTGAAAACCCAAACCCACCTGTGAGTTGTTGTTTGACTCCAGAATAACTCTTTAAATCTCGCTCTTAAAGTAACAGAGAAATATAAGAAGTATAACTAGGTGGCTTTTAATCTGACTGACTGCTTATGGAAAGAAGGTAAAGAGTTTAGAAGACGGAAAGAAAGGGAAGACCAACCCCTCAACGCATGTACAGGAGGGTTCAATACTGGACCCTTCCGCATCAAGCGCAGGGCTGTCCACCTAAGCAGCAGTTGCCTCCACTAGGTGACAGCAACAGTAAATTGTTTTCCTGAACACATTCAGAGAAGATTTTAATCATTGATTGTGGCACTGCATGACCCGTTTTCTGGGAAACCAACTGGAGGCATCGGGAGAGGTTTGTACTTACCTTCGCCTTCCCTGAGACACGTCAAAGCGTACAGCCAGAAGCGTAGTGTTCCTTCTGAAAATAACAGTCTGAGATTGTTAATGAACAGAAAACCTCAACAGACTGACTTGGCCAAAAGTGCAGATACAGAAGTGGTACAGATCACATCCCAAAATCATGCCTTGAGTTAAAAGAACAAAGTCTATCAAACGCTGTTCACGTTACAAACACGTTAAAGTAAGCTGTCATGGCACGTAGATTTGAATCTCACCAAGGCTGAATTTGTCTAACAGATAATCTGTTGTGAAGAACTTGAGTATTCTTGGCAATATACTAAAACTAGAAATTGTCTGTTCCCACCACTGGTTTCATGAGCGTTTGTTCTAATTGGTCACCCATGCCCCAAGCCATGCTTTTGTCTGGCTGTATTTAGTGAAAGACCATCAGCAGATTGTGCAACTTCAGAAATAGCATTTCTGTGTCATTCTGATTTTCCAGTTTAGTCTCTGAACCATGAAGTGTACAAACGACAAGGCTGCATTCGAGTTGCTTTTGCATCAACATGTAAATGACAGTCAATTACCTGAACTGCTATTTCCTACTGTAGAACAAGTCACTAATGCCAGTTAAATGAAAGCTGTGCTTTTCTTATGTATTTGAAGCTCCCAGTCAACCGCCGGGAAACGTAGTGTGGAATGTCACTGACTCCAGAGTAATCCTCAGCTGGGAGGAAGTGAGAGCTATGGAGAACGAGTCTGAGGTGATCGGGTATAAGGTAAGTGAAAACAGACCAGAACAACATCTGAAAGCGATACACAGGTTTGCTTTTTTCTGTAGATTTGCAAGGCAGTAAGTTCAGAGGATGCACCATACCACCTCTAAACCATTTCAGTAGTGTCCCCTTTTTTATAGATTTTAAATCATGTTCTAATGATGGATCATCAGCCACGGCCCTTTTACCTTTTACCATTAATGGGACACTAAATGCCTTCTCCTCCTCGTGCAAAAAAAGCCAGGAGCTGCAGGCATTGCTGCCACCTCTTGGGATCCTACTTACCCAGATGTGCAACACTCGGGTGTTATAACAGATAAAACTTACTATAAATGTATAGCACTCACCATTTTGAAAGAAACCAAATAATCCAAGATTCAGCTGATGAATTTGGTTCCCATTGCTGGCCAGGTATGTTTAATTAGTACCACATACATCAAACTGAAATTCTGAAACCCTTTCCTTCTTACCTGCTGTGGGACGTGCCGATTGTCCTGATAGGAATTACGTGGCTACGTCTGCTGTAAAACTCACCAGTGCACGAATGTGCAAGTATTTAAATATGCCATCATCTTAAGTGTGTGTAAGAGAACAGCTGAGGATGGTCTTGAGGAGCTGCGTGCAGCTGGATCCCGCACGACAGGTTTACGCTGCAGGTCTGGCCGTGCGGTGTTCTGAGTGGTGTTGGCACGAAACGCGTGTTTATGGTTCAGATATGCCACCCAGTTTCACAGACGGTAGCTGACCTGAAAACAGAGCACGTAGAGTTCCAAGCTGCACCCTCTGTCTCCCACAGCAATTTCAGGTTCCCCTGTGGCTTGCAAACATTGCTAAGTACACAAGGGTAAGCTGAATTTTGATAGAGCTGGTTAAGTTTACTGAAGTAAAGCACTGAGGTTTTTATCCCAGAAGGCATGGGCAGTATGGGTAACAAAAGTTGGTTTGCCAGGAAGAGAAGAGCTGACAAATGACATCATCAGAAACGCCAAAGCAGCCGCAGTGCGGTCACTGTGGGATTGAGCCATACGCCTGCCTCCCTCCGAGTGCACGGCATGAGGGAGCGTGTCTCCAGGGCAGCGGCGTGTGTACAATTCCAGCAGCTTTGCCTTTTCTTTCCCTTTCATCATCACAGCCGTTATTCTAGGAGAGTTGGGGCTGCTGGTTTTTGCAGTGGGAAACCCCAGGCTTACCTTGGTTTGTGAAACTGGCAGGTGAATGTCCTGGATCCACGTGTTTTTTAAACAATGCCAGGATATACCTCTGTGTGCTGAGCCCCGCCGCTGGCACTGGGCACCCTTTGGGCTCATCAAGCCTTCAGGATGCAAGGGAGGCCGATGGTGCTCCTACATCCCTCCTGATGATGCTGAGCAGCGGGATGTGACGTGCAGACGTAGCTCCCACTCCCTGTAACACGGACACCAAACGTTAAGTTAAGTTTCGTGACAGAACGAGCACTCAGCACTCACAGGACATCTCCCAGCCCGGTCTGTAACGCCGGTCAGTTCTCTCTTCCCAAACTGGGTGTTGGGAAGCTGATCTAGATAATGGCAGATTCCAGATGGGGGGGGTAATATATAGAACACGATACTCAACGGAATATATTACTCATTTGTTATCATTATACATTGTGCCATTTTAGGTTAAAGCTGGAATAAGGGAGCTTGATTGAGGTTACCTTCTTTCTTTAAATGTAATTCTGCCCTGTCATATTAACCAAAAATCAGATCTTTTCTCTCCTGATATTTTTAAAGACCGAAACCTTGTTTCCAAGACACAGAAATGAGGATTGCTGTGCGTTCCTCCTGGAAGAAACGACCCACTACAGCTGTTTGCTTGCGTTGCAGGTTTTGTACAGGACCAGCGGTCAGAGCAGGATGAACGTGCTGAGCACGGAGAAGACGACAGCGGAACTTGTGCTCCAGTTCAACGACGATTACGTTATAGAAGTTAAAGCAACGAGTGACGGCGGAGATGGCACGAGCAGTGATCAGATCCTGATTCCCAGACTAGCCAGTAGGTTGAATCATTATCACTTGGTCACATGCTTCCGTAGGGTCCCCAGCCAGTATCGGAGCCTCCTTTATACCAGCCACTCTACAGAGACATCTGTGCCTTCCTGTAGTGCATCATTACCGAATTGGCAGTTGTCACAGCTTGTCCTTGCAGGAATTGAGTCCTTACAGAGCGGGGAAAAAAGAATTAATTCTTGTATGTTGTATGGCAATAAGGTACTAAAAAGAAAAGCAATTAACAGTCTTCATGCCCTTATGCATGACAAGCTTCATTCTATCAGATCAGTAAATTACTGTGTAAGTTGGTATTAAGAATGTTAGGCTTTTTTAAAATTATCACTACCTTGAAAGTAGAGCCCATTCATGAAGTGTCAGCATTTTTCAATACATTTCTCTATTTTAAAAATACTTAGTGTATTTTTGCAAATTCTCATGGCTTGTCAGAAATACAAATTTACCACAGTTGTTCCTTAGCATCTGGGAGGAGTAATAATTTGACAGAGCAGATGCTCAGGCTTTCATTTAATCCTGACCTTTTTCATTTGTCACAGGTATGGATGCAAGAGGTTCTGGTTCATCCATCTTGAGTATCTTCAGTGTATCCAGCTTCTTCCTGACAATATTTTCCTTGACTCTTAACTCAGTGTTGTGATGATACATCTTCATTTGCTGGGGAAAAAAAAAAAAAATCTGTTACTTCAGAAAAGTGCTTTTTTAAAAAAAACAACTGCAGTGGTTAATGCATGTTTTTCTTCTATCCTGACGTGTTTTTAAATTCTTTATATTTCACTGTAGGTTGAAGTAAAAATATCATGTAAAGTTTAGCATATCCTTTAAAAAGGAATCTAAAATGCCTTAATACTTGAACCAAAGGAGTTTACATATTACATGCTTCAGACAGAGTGTAAAAGAGAGAGCGCAATGGCGCCACGGTCGGAGTTGCCAGGCGGATCTTGGCGCAGTGAGAAACACCGGCGTTGCAGTGACACGGAACTGTGTGGGGTACGTGCTGCCTTGTTACGATGACGTCGTTCTGCGTGCAAAAGACGAAATCAGAGACCTGGAGTTTCTGTCCGTTGGTAACACATTGACCAGGCAGCTGTTCTGAAGACAGTGTCATAAGCCAGAACGTTTGGATCAGTTTTCTTACTGCCCTGTGTATAAATTACTCCAAATCTAGCAGGAAATCAAAGCTGGGAGCAGAGACAAGTCTCAGCACGGACGTTTGTTTTGCACAGCCCATGCTGGGGTGTCCACGAGGCAGGGCTTCCACTGCTGCTCGTGAGAAACGGTTTCACAGCCGTGTCCCAAGGAAGGCTCTCTGTTTTATTGCAGCGTACGTTTATGTACCTTTTTAAGCACCTAACCTTCCTCTCCATCAACAGACCCCTAAGTTAATAACTTTATATCCCCACCTTGTATTTCTTAACCAGGTTCTTCATTCATAACTTAGTTCTCCCACCTCCAGGGTCATTTTTATCGCCCTTCTCTGAACTCCTGTCAGTGTGTTTCACTAACAAAAGTGCCCACTTGTAAGCATTATTGAAATGCAGTTGCACCACGGCCTTATGAAAAGGGACTTCTACCACCTCCCTACCATGTGATGTGGTGCTTCCAAATATGCAGCCCCAAATTATCCTGCTCTTTTGTCTACCAGACTGCACTGTAAACTCATCCTTAATTCAGTGTTACGTTCATAGCTCTCCTTCCTGCTGCTCTTTAACGCATTCAAAACGATTTCACCTGGTCTGGCACTCTGATGCACCACATCACTGTCACGATTCTGCTAAGTTTATGGCAATACTGTAGGTTATAAGAAAAATTCACACAAAGACACTTCAGGCTTGCTATTACAGAGAAATCTGCTTTCTTTCTTAGCAATATATCAAAGATGCATTAAACCTGGTGCATGTGACTTCTACAGTTGTGAGTTTAGTCAAATCAGCCTTTTAGACACCTTTTAAAGAGCTGCCCACACACACAGTAGAGCCAAGTGTTCATGTCACATCAAGCATATCCTTTTAAAGGTTTCTTTTTTAAAATCTCACAGTATTATTACAACACACAGAAATAAAAAGGGAGAAAACCAGCACTGTAGGAAAAAAGACCTTGATATGCATTCAAATAGCAAATTAACCTTATTAGTATCACATCCAGATAAAAATCCATGTAACTGTTGAAGTAGGCAAGATCTGTATATACTGTACATACATAGTTATAAATGGCTAGTTGCTTTTCAATGTGGCTAACCAGTGATGTTTTCAGACACTTGCAAAGTGGGGGTCGGGTGGGAGATGGAAAACAGGTGTTACTAGTGAGTGTATAGTTATGTTTCATGCAGCAAAGGGTGAATCTTCCTGTTCTTGTTTCACACAGTTCTAGTCCATGTTCCTGTATTGCCATTTTCACGCAATTACATTGTATTATTTAATTTCTAGTTATATATCTCCATGAGATATGTACCGAGTACCTTGTTTCATATTGAAAAGTTTGAAATTTATCCTTAAACTTCCAGTTGTGTGTGTATCCTATGGCTATCTGTATGCATTTTTTTCTATTACTCTAATAAAATATTTATTATATTGAGGGATACTGGAATATATAATATTGCTCGTCCATATTTGCACACACAGGGATTTACTGCATCTAAAAATCCTTGTCTGTGTTTTTCATAGTATTTCTGGCAGGATAGGAGTGGTCTCCGTCACAGAACCTTAGCTGCCCGCAGGACTGAAGTCATAGCTCAGCCCTACGTCTGCAGCAGGGAGGAGGGGGTAAGGACAGCCACACGTCTCTGGAGGTGGCGGAGATGTGCCACGCACGGGGCAGGGATGATCTGAGGTTCTGCTAAAGGTTCTGAGCATTACCTGTGCCCGCGGGTTGGCAGGATGATGGCCAAAAACCCTCTCCCTGGCGTGGTTTCCCGTCTGTCCACTTAGGCTGCTTCCTCTCCTCTGGGGGGAAAAAGATAATTATATTGACCAAGAGTTTGTGCTTTATACTATTTTACTTAATATAATATTTTACTTAATGTAATGTATTAAAGATAAGTACTGTAATCTTTATAATGATGTATTTACTGTAGCACTATTCAGCATTGACATGGCCTGTTCCCCCCTGCAGATGCCTGTTCTTTACACGCTGCAGCTTCCCCTAAAGCCAGAGATTTCCTCACACTAATATCACTGGGATCACAGGCCAAACAGATCTATGGATTTTAAGTTTTTAAAGCATGGCTTCTGCCTACATCAACCGGGAGCTGATCCAGCTGCTGCAGTAAGGGTTAATAGCAATCCCGACGTGTTTACAAGCACATACACGAGGCCAGGCTGAAGTAACTGTGTAAACTGAGTTGGTTTACTCAGGGTGGTTGTGGGTGGACACCTGCCTCCCTCCGTCTTTCCCCCCAGATCAGCCTTCCCTTAAACCAAGCTGCTCTTCCTCATCTCACACTAACTCAGTTCACGTTAATTTGCAGTAAGGCAACTGCCTTGATTCTCCAGGGAGAGCTGGAAGAAAGCTGTTCCTGGGAAGGTTAGGGGAGGAAAAGGTGAGGAGTCACTAACAGCTTTCGCTGGGAGCCAGTACCTACCAGAGGCGATGGGAGTGCTGTGGTTTGGGATCTGGATGTCTGGAGGGTGGGGGCTGTTCCTTGGGTTATTTTAGACCTGGGTTTAAAGTCTCTCACCCTGCACCACCATTTCCCCCAGATTGGTTTTCTAAAGGGTTTCTTGTGCCACCCGTTTGTACAAGGGGACTTGGTGACTTCTGAAGTCCCGTACTTCTGAAGTATGAATTTCTCGGAGAATTGGTACAAGAATTTAAAAACCAACATTCTTCTTTGGACAGCTTACTCTCTTGGATACGTTGCCAACATGCGGGCTGAATACAAAATGAGTTAAAAACTAATAGCACTTTAGCTGTAAGAAATACTGGAGATCTCCATTTTCTACTTAATTTGCCTTTCACTGGAGGAATGCAGACGTGGGCAGTGCCTGTCGGGTTATATATGTTACATCTTAATAACAGGCAATAAAGCAAGCTGTCCTGCATGAGGGAGTGCATTAATCTGACAGCTTTCTGTCCGAAATAAATAACCACGGAATATTGTGGAAATAAAACGAGTTTGTAAACAGGCCCTCGCTTCCTTAGGGAAAACCACCTCCTGGATTGTTTTATGCTAATGCTTTGAACTCCTGAAAAGCAATAAAAAAAGGCTATGTTTAGCAGAGACATAACTGAATGTATGTTATTGTTGTTTTATCAAGCCTGCTTGATAAAGAGAGGCACTACTTTTCTTCAGATGTGGTGCAGACATAGTGCAAGCTGCAACACGATGGGGAGGAGATTGTGCACCACTTAACTGTATCTCCAGCTATCAGTCTTACCCTCTTAGAAACGAGCTTTTCTGTGAAGACTTTGCACAGTTCATCGTTGCCTCCCTGGCGTGCGTGCGGCTTGGGTCTCTCTGGGAAGCGGGATATGCAGCCTGTGAAGAAGGGAGAGACATTTGTCTTTTTCCGAGCTTAAGACCTGTTTCAGCAGCCTCAGCAAGCAGAGAGCAGAGGCTGCCCGAGCAGAGCGGCTATTAACGTCTCACCCTCGGCTTGGAAGTTGTTCCCAAGGTCAGCTGAGGATGTGGACATCTCGTTGGCGTCAGCAGGTCACTACAACAGCATCAGAACCCGCAGGATGAGATGCAGATGAGTGCCTTGGCAGCCCTCCCAAAGACCAGCACAGCCTCCCACACAGCTCCTGGCAGAGGGCATCCTCCCCAGGGCACAGCTTGGGTGCTCCCGGGAGCCACACAGCCGCTGCCCTGGCTCTCGGCA